ACCACGCAGGTGGCCGGTCTACCGCGCAGGTGGACCATAAGTTCACCGCAGGTGGCCGGTCTACCGCGCAGGTGGACCATCAAGCAACTCGACCACGCACGTGGCTGGTCCGCCGCGCAGGTGGACCAGTAGGTCAGTCCGCCACGCAGGTGGGCATGCTACGCAGGCACGGGCCCTCCAACGCACAGTCTGACAGAGTGTGTTCACCACGCTGTGTGCCACGCAGAGTGTCCGCGCGAAGTCACGGAACAGACGTCGAAAATAAAAAAGCATTGCATAAAAAGAAACACAAAGAATACCGTTTTTCTGTCGATCCGGCGACGGCCACTCGCAGTCCCGCCTCCGTCGGGCCACTAGACGAAATAGGGGCGTGTCGAGCGCGTGCCCTGCAGAGCTTCACGGCTGCGAGATGCGGCTGCGGTGCATGCACGCAAGCAACATGCTCGAAGACCCCACCCTCAAAAAAGAAAGCACCTTTTTATACTTCGCTCCCATGTGCCGTTATATAGGTCACTGTCCATGCGCCTACGTCCCACGCTCTTGCACCATCCTATCTCGGATCAGGGTCAGCGCTTCTCGAGTCTTTCCCGACTTCACGTGACGCACAAGGTTGCGACAGATGGAAGCATGGCCCGTAGCTGTGCTTCCGATGATCATCCGCAAACGTCCGTCGACCATGTGTCGAATGTAGGACTTGTGGGTATAAAACTCAGCCTTGCAAGGGCCCCAGCCCTTGGCCTCGAAGGTGATGTTGCCCGGCTTGGCCTGATCCCCATCACTCGCCTGCGCGCCGGCCACGGACTTCTGCGCCTGTCGCGTGGCTGGTCGCTTGGCTGGTCCGCGCCCCGCAGCGGCTTTCGACTTCGCGGCCGCCTGCTTCGCGCCGGACTTGGCCTTTGCTTTGGCTTTCCCCTTGCCCTTTGGTTTGGCGGACGCCTGGTCCTCTGTCGCGGTGCGCTTTTGTGCGCGCGCACGTAGTAACGCTTCTGCTTCTGTAAAAACTGGCCCCCAGCTTTCACCTCATCTTCAACAGGCGGAGGTGTCTCTGTCTGTGTCTCCTGGACTTCCAGTGATGGCCCTGGCAACAGAGGCACCACTGCACACTGGCCGTCCCCTGCAACACTCGGCTCCGCGTGGATCATCAGTACTTGTCCAGCGGCTTCCCGGTGGGATGCAGCCGGCGGACCCGGTAAGTCACGTAGACTTTGGACTGCCACTTCTTGAAGGCTTCCAGTCCTGTCCTGTCCAGCGTCTCCCAACGCCAACGGTGCCATTTGCCCTCCGTCCGTTCGAGGAAAAATCTTCAGGTTGCGCAGACCTCCATCGTCCCGAGCGCGCAGCTGAGACACTAGTTCGGCCAACTGTGGCATCCATGCTTGCTCACGTGTCTCAGGTCGAGACTGCCGCAACCGCACGCGTGGTGCGAATGCTGTCAGCTGTGCCCACGACACAGGCATGCGATCCTCCGGAGTCAACGCTTCCAGGTTGAGTCGCTCCTTGGCAGCCAGAGGAATTTGTGAGGATTCCTTTGGCAACAACTCCAGCAAACACTCATCCTCTCCCTTCACATCATGCCTCCGGAAGTGTGCGCGCCAGGCTTGCTTCATCGTTTGCAGAAGTGTTCCGAGTTGGAACGTGGTGTCCCTTAGATGCCCATGGGTGTGCGCCAGCACTGCCACGCACATGGCGTAGGTCGCTTCCGTGGGCGCGCGTAGACCCATTCTGGCATACAAAACATCCGCCAGCACCTCTGACGCTACTCGTTCAGTCGGGGAAGAAGATATCCGACCCCATTCTTCCAAAGTCAAGTAGCGTGGAAAACAAAAGTAGTCCTGCTGTTTGCGTCGGGCCCCGCAGGCCCGCGCGGATTTCAACTTGCGGATGACAGCGGAGCGCACAGCGTCCGACTCCGCATGTTGCAGACCGTGTGGCGCAGTCTCCAGGTAACCCTCAACGGCCTGCGCGTCGTCTAGTGACTGTACGTATTCCAGCCAAGCAGGCAGAGCGCCCTGCAGTACTCCCATGCGGTCTCCCTGTGACTCTGCGACCTTCCCTGCCAGTTCCTCCAGCAGTCTCACCGCCATGGTCTGCAACGAGGAAACAGCTCGGACCAAAAAAGCTGCAAACCTAAAATCCAATTTAATTTACACGCAAGCGAGCCTGCCGTGCCCTAAAAAAAGGAGAAACAATAACTTCCCCTAAGTTCCCATAAGTTCCCTGAAGTTACAACCAACTTCCAAGTCGACGAACTTATTAAGTTCCTACTAGTCCTAGTAAGTTCTACCGGCGTGCGTGAACTTATAGTAGATGTTAACGAAGTTGTAAATCAACTTATAGTATAACTTCAAGTATTTCAATCCTAGTAGTATGCCTGTGCCGGTTGATGATGCTAGCCATCAGGTTGAGCCCGACTTAAAGAGGTCCAAGATCGTTGACACGCGTGCGATCCCGCACGTCATTGTCTGCAACAGGCAGGTCACTTCTTCCGAGCAAAGTGACATTGTGTTGGTTGTTCAGGTGCCATCCAGTGAGCTTTGTTGCATCCGTGTCACTTCCAATGTCTGTCGCTCCGACGTGCTGTCTGTTGATGGCATTCTGCATCAGATTGTTGCGCACAATGGCACAGGCTTCGATCCTCTTTCGACGGTCTTAGCTCATGGTGATTTTGTCGAACTGCAGCGGCTCAGTTCTGCCGTCATCCATGCTGGAGGTCACCACGGTGCCCAACCCATGTCCTTGCCGGCTGGTGCTGACTTCGGTTCCAGGTGTGAGTTCGCCATCAATTCATCAGGTTGGCTTGCATCGGACGAGATGCGATACTTTGTTGAATGCATCCAATGGACCAACACCTCTTTTGCGCAGTTTGCTCCGATCGTCAGATGGGATTTGCAAATGTTGGACTTCGATGCTTCTTCGTACCATGAGATCATCATTCCCAACAACAGGTTGACTGTGATTCCGATCTTGTGCGGTGCACATTGGGCTGCTGTCGAAGTTCTCAAGGCGGGTGCCCGAACTGTCGTGGAAGTGATTGGTTTTCCAGGGCCTCTTGTGCAGAATGTCATTTGGGCTGTGGCTCGGATCATGGATTTAAATCCTTCTCACCTGACTGCCCATCAAGTCACTCTCCCACCACGTGAGCACTTCTGTGGTTGGCAGTTGTTAGCCCGTTGGATTTCTCGTGCGAATCTCATCGATATCGTCCCAGCTGTCAATGATGGATACTTGCAAACATCTCTTGACCGTAGGCACTTGATTGACGAAGTCCTGGTTGCCTCCATCGATGATTGGCACAATGCTGGCATTCCCACTGCTGAATGGACTTCAGCTGCGAGGCTTAGGCGGGAGTTCTTTGTGCATTTGGCAAACCGCGGTCCTCCTCCTACTCCAGTCACCACTGAGCGGCTGTTCGTTTCATTCGTTGACAGTGATGCCCCGGCTCCTCCCAGAAATCAAGCTACCCTGGAGCACCAAGCTATCATTCCTGACCTTATATGGTTCTGCGCAGACTCTTTCATCTCCGTGAGCATCCGGCATGGCTGCATTCTGATGAGTTTGATGCGGTGCTTGATTCATTGCGCCCTCTCTATGTGAACACGTATTTTGCACCTCCTGCGCAGTGGAATGAACAGGATGATTGCTTTGAATTCTTTGAGGGTCGCACACCAGACACTTGGTTCCACCCACATGTCATTTGGCCTGTCATCATTGGCACAACCTGGGTCCTGGTTGAGCTTTTGCGTGATCCAAACGTCCCAGTCTCACTGTTCATGTCGGCTCCAAACAGCTTGGCACATTACTTGCCTGACATAGTTGGCCATGTGGCACGCACTCATGCCCTACAGCCGTATACTGTCCAACAGATTTTCATTCCATTCCACACTCCTCAGCACATGTGTGGGTGGACACTTCTGGAGAGCATTTTTGTTCGGCACCAGTGCTCCTTGCCTGACAGTGCACTTGCTGCTTCGCACATTTTCTCTTCGTCGAGACATCGAGAAATTGTTCAGGAGATTCGGCTGAATAGCTCCCATGCTTGGACTTCATCCGGAGCTCAAGAGAGCACTGTTGAGCTTGCATTCGATGTGCGCACCAGCTTCTTGCTTCGCATTTTGGAGGGAAGAATTGCCGCCACGTACTCATGTGCTGGAGGTGAGAATGATGCAGTGATGACGCCTGCCAAGCCCACTTCACCGGGCAAACCGGGTTCGCCTCCTGACTCCTCCAAGTCTGGTCCTGATCCTTGGTTGGAATCTGATCCGTGGACTCGCAAGCCGAAGAAGCAACCCACCACAAAGTGGGAGGACTTGGTCTTGCCAGACCAGCACCCGATTGTTGATGACAAAGGTGGCATGTTACCACAGACTCATAAATTGCAAGCCAGCTCACGGAAAGCCGGGGCAATCTTAGCTACGAAAGCTGCGATTGTTGAGTTGATGCGCTTGTCCTTTGAGGCTCCCACCACGCTGGTACTGCCATCCTCAGAGAAGTTGACATTGAGTGACTTGGGCAAGAAACTTGTTGGGCCACATGAGTTGATCCTTCATGATCCGGCACTTAAAGCTGAATATAAAAGGTTGGTTGTCCTGCTTCCTTTGTTTGGCACTGTGCGGTATTCGCTGCCGACACCAAAAATCACGATGCATGCTACTGCTGTTGTCGAACTTGTGGCGGAGGTGGACTCCAGACTTCTCATGCAGAACGAACATGAAGCTGTCAAGAGTGACCCTATGAAGTACATCAAAGATGCCTTGACACAGCTACATCCTTCGATCAAAGATGACTTTGCTTTTTATGCACTCCGCATTGGGCACCATCCTGCAGCAAGTCGCCTCGAGCCGCAGTACCAGTGCATCGTCAAAGTTCCGGCCAAGCACCGCAAGAATGTCCTGCAGTCCAGTGGGCTCCTCCCTGTCCTGGTGAGAGACTTTTTCGACCAATCAGGGCAACCGACGGACTTGTCGGTAGTGCCAAAGTTCTGGCAGACGACCCCTCGAGAGCTGAACGAAGCCAGAATCATCTTGAAGGACATCCAGGGCTTTGCTGGCTTAGTGATCACCAGGCGAGGACTCGCCACACGTGCATGGGACAGCCAGATCGCTGCAGTCAGGGCAGCCGTTTTGCCCAATGACACCCGCTTGACCAAAGAGAATTTGGACATTGTGCCACGGTTTCAATTCTCTTCTACGGGATGGCCGCCTGCGATCGAACCGAAATGTGTAGTGCAGTCGACCGTTCAGGCGGTCGGACTTGCGCCTGTACCGTCCAAGGCATTTCGAAGCAATGGAGTTTTCGGGTGGGTGTTAGGTTTTGGATCCAGACCTACCACGTTGAGGTTCACGCTGAATATCAACGGTGAAACCTTCGAGATTCTGCTTGTGGAAGAAGACAGAACGCCGGCTGTTCGTGGTTCTGCAAAAGCACAGAAATGGAGAAAGGAAAAGGGTACTGCCGAAGGCAAACCCTCTCATGCTGCACCTGTCAGCCATCCTCCTCCTGCTCACTTTGCTCCGAACCCTCTTGCGACCAGTGAATCCCACCGCATTCAGATCCTTGAGCAGAAGTTCGATAAGCTTGAGAACCGGCAGTTGCGCATGGAAGAGAAAATGGACTCGCGTTTCTCGGACATTTCGGATTCATTACGACAGCTTCTGCAAGCATCCAATGCCCATCCAAGGGAGTCGACGGGTGAGACGCCCAACCCGAAACACCCGCGGCATGACAGCCTTCTGTGACGGTCTCCGATGGAGTTTGTTCCGTGCTATGGATTTTGGAATTCTTCGTTCGGTTCCTCCTTTTCTTGTCTCTCTGTGCTTTTTAGCCTCGCGTGCCTTGGTGCATATGTTTCTCTGTGGATTTCTGTGGCTTGGGCAGCTCCATCACTTGGGGGCGCAATGGTCTCCGGGATCATTGCTTTTGCCATTTTCTCTGCTGACAGATTCTTAGGTCTTGGCTCGATGCAGACGAGGCATGAGTTTGTCCTTTGTGCATTACAGCTATGTCGCTCGCTCCAGAGCGCAATTCTTGACGTGTTGCATTTTGCTCTCCGGGAGCACTTTTCGTCTTCCTCCATGGAGCCCTCCATGCTCTCAGTGTTTCAGCAGTTCGTTTTCTGTGATCGTTTCATTTCGGTTCGTGTTTTTGAATGCTGGAGTATGTGTGACTTCCGTAGGAAGCTTTCGTTGCATGACTTACGACAGCACCAGCCACCGCGTTTTTGCAAAAATGAGTGCATTTTGCGCTCGTGCAGCCTTGTGTTTGGATGGGCACCATCGCATGGTTGTGTTCACGATTTCGATTCGAGTTTAGGTTTCCCAGGTGAAGGTCCGCCTACTGTGGAACACTCAACATGGTCAATTTGCTCGGCAAATATCGGTAGTTTAAAGACTTCCAATTTCTGGCGGAATACGGATGATTCTTTGATCTGTCTCCAAGAAACACGGATCGGCAGAAACAATTTCCGTGTGAGTTCCAGAGAAGTTCAGGCTTCGGGAAAAACCTTGTTTTGCGGGGAACTTCTTGCAGGGATTATTCGCTCCGACGGCCTTCACACGACTATGCACGGAGGTACAGCCGTTGTCGGCTCTGGCCTCTTAACTCGCCCTTTTCTTGAAGAACATGACATGACTGGCCTCTATGCGTCCATCTTTAAAACAAAAAGGGTGAATGCTGTTTGGACCCAAATCCTCCCCAACATCCGTGCACTGGTCTTTTCTGTCTACGCCCGAACAGGGGCTTCGGCCAATAATGATATCCTGGATCTAAATAATTCCCTGTTTGAGTCCATTTTTGAAATTGCTGCACAATTCGGAGACATTCCGATTATTGTCGCGGGTGATTTTCAAGCGGAACCCATGAATTACCCCGCCGTTTCAAATGTGTTGCATTTTCACAGATGGTTTGACCCCTTGCAAACTGTGTTGGATGATGGTTCTCTTTTTCGCCCCCTCACGTATTCGAGAGATGGTTCCTTTTCGGGCAGCGGAGACAATTGCACCTCCATTGATGCTATCCTTGTTAATCATGTTGCTTTTGCGGCCCTTGACTCTATCCAAGTTGTGGAAGACTTGGGTTATCAACATCG